CCCCCGCGCCGTGCGCCGTGGCGCGGGCCCGGCGGGGCGCGGCGAGACAAGACCAAGTCCAGGGCCGCGGGGCCCTCTGCGCGCCGGAACGTGGTGACGCGCACCCCAGCAAGCTCCAGCTTTGTGCGCACGCCCTTGCCAATCTGCAACGACCGGTTGATGGTGCTGTCAAACCTGGGCCCCAAGGGCCGCCCGTCTACCTCCAGCTGCACGCTGACGGCGAGCGGCAGGGATACGCCAGGGAACCAGGTTGCCGGCAGACTCTTGGGGACCAAGACGCCGTTGAGCGCTTTGGGGTAGCCGTCGCGCGTATACACGTTCAGCAGCTGGTTCTGCGCGCGGCGGGCGCGGCGGCGGTGGCGGGCAGTCGGGCGTCCAGCGCCGCCGGGACGCCGGGGGTTTGATCGGAAAAGAGGCGGCGCGCCGCCGCACTGTGGGCGCGCGGGCCGGCGGCCCCGCTCTCGCGCGCGACCGGAGGTGCTCGGAGCGTCGCGCGTGCGGGGGCCGCGTTCCCTGGGATGACGGACGCGCAACCCCGCTCACCACCGGCCAAGTGCTGCCAACGACGACCCCCTCTCCAGCGCTGCCGCAGCCATCGGCGCCGCCGCCGCCACTCTTGTCTCGGTGTTGCTGCCCTTGCTGTTGCTGCTGTTGCTGCTGTTGCTGCTGTTGCTGCTGCTGCTCCTGCTGCTCCTGCTCCTGCTGCCGCCGCTGCTGCTGCTGCTGCTCCTGCTCCTGCTGCCGCCGCTGCCGCTGCTGGCGCCGCCGCCGCTGCTGCTGCTGCAGCCGTCGTTGCTGCTCCTGCTGCCGCCCCTGCTCCTGCGGGCCCGGCTGCTGCGGATCCTTTGAGAGCTGCTCGCGGAAAGCGGCCGCGTCCGGCCGTCGGACGTCTTGATCTGAAGCATCGCCGACGTCGCACTTCTCGCTCTGTTCCTCTGCCATCGCATCTCCCGGCGCCGCCGGTCCCTTTGCCTGCCGTGTTTCCCCATTGTCATCTTGCGCCTGCAGCTGCCGCTGTCGAATTTGCGGCCGGCGCTGCTGCTGCCGCTGCTCCTGCCGCCGCTGCTGCTGCTCCTGCTGTTCCTGCTGGCTGCCGCGCGTAACGACCAGGGCGAGAGCGGCGGGCCCCTCCCGCCGGAAGCCGGTGAGGCGGCAGCCGGCGAGATCAGTCAGGTGGGGGACACTTCTGGCAAGGAAACGCGAGCGGTTGATGGTGCTATGAAACGTGTCCCCCCAGGGCCGCCCGTCCACCTCCAGCTGCAGGCTGACTTCGAGCGGTAGGGGCGCGCCTGGGAACCAGCTGCGCAGCAGAGGCGCGGGTACTTGCGGGGCGTTCAGGCTGCGCCCTATATTGTTGAAGATGAGGCGCTGGTTCTGCGGGTAGGCGGCAATGCGGAGGGTGGTTCATGGGTGCAGGGGCGGACGGCGGTGAACGGCGAGAGGGGTAAGGGCGAGGGAAGGGGTGGGGAGAGGGTACAAGCACGGTTGCATGGACCAAAACGTGATGGGTTTTGGCAGGTCTGGGGACTGCTGGAGAAGCGAGGCCGCCGACCGCTGGGCGGTCCGGCGCCCGCGGCTGCCATGACAGAGAAGATTTGCGCCAACCCCTTGGCCACCTGCCTGCAGGCACGCACTCAGCGCCACCTGCCTGCAGGCACGCGCTCAGCGGCCGCCCCGGACTCGTTATTTCGGCACGGCTTTGCCCCAGGTTAGAAGCTGGTCGAGCTTGGCCAAACGATGCATGAGGTCGGCATTGATTTCATGGCTCCGACAGACTCACCGTCGGCCACGTGGCGGCGGCCCCTGAGCCGCCGCGTCCAGCACGTGAACCTCGCGGCGCTCCGCCCCCGTCTGCGGCCGCCGCCTCCTGCCCTGCGCCGCCGCTGCTGCCTTGGTCGCCGCTGAGCTCCAAACCAGCGCCAGCGGCTGGTCCACCCTTCTGAGGATCCTGATCCTCCTGCTCCTCCTCCTCCTCCTGCTCCTGCTCGTCATCATTATCATTATCATTATCATCATCTTCATCATCATCCTGCTGATCGTCTTCGTCCACCTCCCCCTCCTGCGCCTCAATGTACTGCTGCTGCTGCCCCTCCCTGCACACCTGCTGCTGCCCTTCCCCAGGCTGCTGCTGCTGCCACTGCTGCTGCTGCTGCTGCGGCTGCTGCTGCCACTGCTGCTGCCACTGCTGCTGCTGCTGCTGCTGCTGCTGCTGCTGGGCTGGCGCCACCACCTGCTCGAGTTTCAGTCCTGCACCTACAGCATCGTCTGCAGCACTGGCGATCGCCTCCGCTGCTGCTGCGCCGGAGGGTGCTGTTGCAGGACCCACTGCAGTGACAATGGCGGTGGGTCCCGGGAGCGGGCTCATCGTCCGGGCATTGGTTGCGGCCCCTTGGGCCTCCAGCGCCTGCGTTGGTGAGCTGGGCACCAGCTGCTGGCTCTGTTGGGGCCCGTCACCAGGGCCTGCTGCGGGGGCGGCGGTGCACAGCAGGTCCAACGGCCGCTGTCGCTTGCTTGATGTACCGGTGCTGCACTCCTCTGTTTGACATTGCCTTTTGGATCCTGCGCCCTCGATCCCCTCATGGGGCGTCCAGGACTGCTCGCAACGCATCTTGGGGTGTGAAAAGTATCTGGTGGCGAGAGATGAGGGTGTTGCTTGATGAGTCTACCCGGAAGCCGTTATTTGTATGCGCGGACGAATGTATACACGGCACTGAAAGGCGAACTCCTGTAGATCACATCAGCCAGGTTCGGTCGAAATGGTTCAGGCTCCGTCTACCTGTGAAGCGATTTCCTGCAGAAATTGTGGTAGGTAGTTGCTGAAACCAGGGGCCAGCGGCCGCTGGGCAGCTGTTGTCGCGCCCTGTCTACCGTACACGCGCTGGACTGGGTCAAGGCGCTGGGGTCACGTGCCGGCAACCTGGAAGGGCATTCAAGACTGACGAATGGCTGCATGCAAAATAGCAACAATTACAGTCAGAACGACGCGCACCAACTACTGCTGAGTTGTGAGCAGGCGTGAATATGGCTGTTGTGTGCCGCCGGCAGCATACAGGTCGCGAAACTGAAAAGCTCGCGAAAGCCCGTGGCAGGCAAGAAACAACACCAGCAGCATGGCGAGAGAGAGAGAGAGAGCGGTTTGAGGTAAGGCGCCTTTTCGTGTGACGGCGATATGGTAGTCAGTGTGCGAGGGGTCCAGGCCCAGGCGTGTCGCATGCAAGGCTAGCTGTTCAGCCTGATTCGACGCCATTTGCGTCACAGCAACCAGCCGCGCCGGTCTTTGTGTTGGCTCCAACAGCTGGTTCTGGCGCAGGGATGTCGCACCAACACCGCTGAGTTTTATCGACGAGGATGTCCGTGTTTGTCGCCGTCGACAGCTGAACCAAGCTGTTGATGAAATCAGCCACCAGGCAACACCAGCCACAACTGGTTGACCGGTCATTAGAGGGTTCTGATGTGCCTTACCTGTTTAGCTGATGCAAAGTATGGGCGTTGTCGGGCGGCGGGTCGAGCGGAGTGTGCAGTGCTGGATCAGCTGGGCTGGGGTGTGGTGGTTGCTGGTCAAGCAGTGGCTTTGCTTGCAATGTAAACGAAAGCATGCGTCAACTGCCTTGGAGTACTCGGCCGTCACCGTCTCACTGGGGATTCACAGTGACGAGTGCGCGGCAAGCAGCAGCGTGCGCGGTGGCACAAAAAGCGTGTGGGGTATCCCTGCCCGCAACCTGTGCGCCGGTTCTTGCATCACAAATTACATCACAAATCACTTGAGACATTGTAAAGCTCATCAGTGACCCGCTTAGCTGCGTTCCAATACAGGTACAGCATGCACGTGCATGCTGTGCGCCCACCCTTGGCGTTATGATATGCCATGACCAGCCCGGCCTACAGCTGCGGGTTGGCCATCGCGATGGAGTGGCTGGCACGCACAGGCGGTGCTTGCACGACACGAAACAGTTCATTATTGTACATGAGTTTGGCATGCATCACGGGACGTCCCTGTGATGACAAATGAGCGACGATAATCATGCGAACGTCGCACTGATCTGATTCATCCAGCTGCCAATCCACCTGTAAGCAATTCGTCATCTTGTGAATAAGATTATATTTCTGATTGCGCGTCACGTCCACAACCCAGGATCCATCATGCGCAGTAAGCTGGCACTGGTGCCGTTCTCGGCACTCGAAGAAATATGGCACGATCTGCCTCTCAATGAAGCGGGCTGCAGCGGTGCCACAGAGGCGGAAGGCGGGAGTGCGCCCAGCTCAAAGCGGTCGCGCCTTGAGCTGGGCACCAGCAGCAGCAAGCTGCTGGGTAGCCAGCAGCCGTGCCACAGCTCGCTGCCGCAGGTTCTGCTGGCAGCTGCCACAGCCGATGTCCCGACGACGACACCGCACGCGGCGCCGCACATGACATGTGCTGAGAGAAGGCAGGGGGCGGCAGGGCAGATTTCAGGCCACGCCTCACGCAGCAGCAGTGGCCAGTCCGCGGAGGCGCCAGCACAAAAGCGGCCACAGGGCCAGACGCTGCAAACCCGTCGCCGCCCGACCGCCGCTGTGGCCGGGGCCGACGCCGACGTTGACGCCTGTGGCGCGCCCGTGGGCACCTTTTGGGCTTCGGTGAGCCGGGGCTGGCGGCGGCGGCGCGCTGCTGTTGGCACACTCTGCGTGCCGCTTTCAGGGAGGGGAGTGCACCAGGTGTTTATTAGCAGCGCGCACCAGATGTTATGTTGGCAACATACATACAGGGGCCCCGGGCCCCAATCGACGCCCCCGAAAGCGCGCGCCGCGCATGCCAGCGCCGCCTCTCGCCTCCCGACCCTGCTGCCTCACGCCCCGTCGTCTGCGCACCCACCCTTGCCTCTGCCGCGCGCGCGCCGTCCTCCCTCATGTGAACGCTCTCAACACCCAGTCCCAGCGCGTCAAGTTTACCACGTGCGGGGGCAGTAGGGCCCCCAACAGCGTTGGCGGCATCTGGCTGCCTCGGGCCCTGGCGGCTGCTCTCTATCCCGGAGAGCTGCCGGGCCGGGCCAGGGACGCGCACCCAACGCGGCGCCTCGACATCAGCCTGCAGCCTTTTGTCGATGGGCGGCCCTGGGGGCCGCGGATCGACAGCCACGTAATCAAGGGGCACAAGGTGACGGCGGGGCTGGCCGGGCTGCGGGGGCTGGTGGGGTGGCGAATAGCCGGCTTCCGGCGCGCGGGGGGGCCCGCGGCGCTCGACCTAATTATTGAACGAGGCGACGGGCAGCAGGACGGCGAGGGGGCCGTAGAGGAGGGGTCGAAGGGGGCAAACGAGGGACCGGTCTCCGATGAGGAGGGCAGTGGGGGCGAGGACGGCCGGGAGAGGGGATGGGAGGACGATTGGGAGGAAGCGGAGGCGGCGGAGGAGGAGCAGGGCGGCGGCAGTAGGGGAGGCGGTGATGTCAGCAATCGCGGCGCCCGCGAGGGCGACCTCTTCACGCTGCCAACGGTGAGGAGGCCTCGAGTCACACACGCCGGATCGCAGCCGCTCGCCGCATACCAATCGAGCCAGCCTGTCCCATGGCAGGGCATCGGCCTGCCACATGCCACGCAGGAAGCCGGCCGCCGTGGATGCTCCGTAGGCCTGACCGTCGTTCGCGCCCGACACCCTTGTGAGCCCTCGCATCCACGCCGCCGCCGCATCCGCAGCCGCAGACACTGGGATTCGGGGCGGATAGGAGCGGCGGCATGAAGCCTCTGCTCATGCCAAAGCCTCTGCTGCACAGCTGGTTCCCAGACGTACGCCTCCCGCTCAACGTCAGCCTGCAGCTGGAGGTGGACGGGCAGCCCTGGGGAGATAGGTTTGACACCACGATCAACCGTGGGTTCGGCTTTGGAAAGGGCGTGCGCACTCTGCGGGAGCTGGAGGGCTGGCGGTTGACCGCCATCCGGCGCGCGGCCGGCCGCAACGCGCTCGACCTCATCCTCACCGGCAGCGGTCACCAGCAGCAGCAGCAGGAGCAGCAGCAGCAGCAGGAGCAGCAGCAGCAGGAGCAGGAGCAGGAGCAGGAGCAGCACATGCAGCGCAAGGCGCACGAGCCAGCTGCTGTTCTGCGGCTGCGCCGCGGGGCCATCTGCGATGCGGCCGCGCACGGTGAGCCGGCCGCAAAGCACGCACGCTTTGCAACGGCCATGGCGGCGCTGGGGCTACCTGCGGAGCCACGTCACCAGGTGTTGCAGGGGGCCGGTCCGTCCCCTGCAGGACTGGTGTCACCGCAGTTGGCAGGCGTAAGCACCATATGCAGAGCAGAAGCAGCGGCGCTTGATGGGCCCCTCGTGAGCGGCGACGTGGCGGCGGGGGCGGTCGAGCCAATGGGCGCGGCATCATCCGCTGCCCGTGCACAGCTGCCAGCGGGGCCGGACGTTGGGCCGGCCGCTCAAGCAGGCGTGGCGCCTGCGGCGGCTGCGGCGACTGCGGCGGCTGCGGCGGCTGCGGCGGCTGCGGCGGCTGCAGCTCAGGTGCAGCCGGCCGCGGTCGTGGCGGGGGCGCAGGGGGAGGGGGCAGTCGCTGCGGTCCTGGTCGGCCTTTGTCTGGAGGAGGTGCCCCTGCCCGCGGCGCCCTCCCCGGGGGCCAGCGCTGAGGTGGCCGCTGCGGCCTCGGAGGCGCTGCAAGAAGCTGCCTTCCGGGCGTATGAGGAAGCGCTGCGCGCAGCCGAGGCGCTGGGCCTGCCGCCCGAGCGCGTTGACGCGGTGTGCGGCGGCGTGCAGGCAGCGACCGAGGAGGCGGGCGGGTGCCGGCGGTTCCTGGGGATGGAGTACCCGCGGCTGCGGCGCGCGTGCGCGGCGGGGGCGGTGGATGTCGTGGCCGCGTGGATGGAGCGGGTGGCGGCGCGTGGCTGCTGAGCCGGCCCGTTGATACGATGCCGTGCTATCGAGGGCGCACTGATGCGCCGCTGTCAAGACATATGTCAGTCTGGGCTGGGGTGCAAGCATGGTTGCACCTCCAGCTTCCCCAGGCCCCGTTTATGATTGAGTCGCCTTCAGCTGCTGTGCCTGCCCTGTTTCAAACACATCCCTTCCGTGTCTCTAGTGCGTTCCATACCTCCGCTTTGCTCCAAATTTTCAAGCTTCTGATCATGGGGGTATGAGAGGCTGCTTCCTGTGTGATGCATTATTGGCACACGATGGTGTCCTCTCCAAACGATAGGCCTACAGAATTTGAAATCTGAAAACAATGCTTGAGTTGTAACATACTTGCTCTCATGTCTGCATGACATCAGGCAAAACGAGCCGGAATTGATCAGGCTCCGTCTACTGCTGATCCACTGCCTGCAAAAAGTGCACGAATTTTCTGACTCATTCAGGGCCAGCAGCCGCTGCGCAGCTGTGTGTAGTTGCGCCCTATTCACAAGCACCGGACTGGGTTGCAGGGTGTAGAGATTGTGCGGTGATTGCCGGCCAAACGGATCGCCTTGCTTGCGCTGTAAAGCTGTTGATGCTTGGCTGCTGTCAAAAGCAGGTACGGCATACACGTGCATACCGTGCGCCCACCCCGGGCCTCGTGCCTCTTGACCAGAGCGGTCTGCTTTGGTCTACTGGTAGCAACTGGCGAGCTCGACGCGGTGGCTGGCATGCAGAGACGATGCTTACAGGCACGAAGTGTTGGCTGCTTGTATATGATTTGAGGCACACGGGACGCCCATATGATGACCTGCTTCAGCGACAATAACCTCGATTGCGTGCCGTGCGCAAGGAACTTGGCACTGATCTGAATCGCGCAGCTGTCAAGCCACCTTTAGAGGTTATTGACATTGAACCGTGATGAACTTCTGATCACGCGGCACGCACTCACCCAGGATCCATCATGCGCAGTAAGCTGGCACTGGTGCCGTTCTCGGCACTCGAACAAATATGGCACAATTTGCCTCCTAACGAAGTGGGCTGCAGCGGTGCCACAGAGACCGAAGGCGGGAGTGCGCCAGCCTCAAAGCGCTCGCGCCTTGAGCTGGGCACCAGCAGCAGCAAGCCGCTAGGTAGCCCGCAGCTGTCCCACGGCTCGCTGCCGCAGGCCCTGCCGGCATCTGCCACAGCCGACGCCCCGACGACGCCGCATCACGCGGCGGCGTATGCGGCATATGCTGAGAGGAGGCAGGACGCGGCGAGGGAGGTTTCAGGCCACGCCTCACAAAGCAGCAGTGACCAGTCCGCGGAGGCACCAGCACAGCAGCGGCCAAAGGGCAAGGCGCTGCCGCAAACTCGGTGGCGGCCGGCCGCCGGTGCGGCAGAGGCGGGCGCCGACGCCGACGCCTGCGGCGCGCCCGTGGGCACCTTTTGGGCGCCGGTGAGCCGGGGCTGGCGGCGGCGGCCCGCTGCTGTGGGCACTCTCTGCCTGCCGCTTGCAGTGGAAGGATCGCACCGTGCGTTCCATCACAGCGTGCACCAGCGTTGCTGCTGGCCGACTGCAAGCAGCGGCCCCGATCGACGCCCCCGCTAACTGCGTTCCGCGCTCGCCCCCTTCGCGCCTCCCGACCCCGCTGCCCCGCGCCTCCCGCCGTCCCCGCCTGGCGCCCCACCCGTGCTTGGACGCTCTACACACCCAGTCGCAGCGCATCAGGTTCATCACGCACAGGGACCTCAGGGTATCCAACAGCGTTCGCGGCATCACGCTGCCGCGCGCCCTGATCAACACGATTCACCCCCACCATCTCGAAGGCCGGGCCACAGACGCGCCCACGCGGCGGCGCCTCGACGTCAGGTTGCAACCTGTAGTGGACGGGCGGCCCTGGGGGCCGCGCATCGACAGCCACATTACTAAGGCGCACGAAGTGACGGCGGGGCTGGCCGGGCTGTGCGGGCTCGTGGGCCGGCGGATAGCGGGCTTCCGGCGTGCGGCAGGGCCCACGGCGATTGATGTGATAATCGAACAATGCAGCGAGCAGCAGGATGGCGAGGGGGCCACAGAGGGAGGGACGGAGGAGGAGGGGGCGGCTTGTGCGGATGAGGGCCGTGGGGGCGGAGATGAGCGGGAGACGGGATCAGAGGTGGTTGGGGAGGAGGAGGAGGGGGAGGAAGAAGGGGAAGAGGAGGAGGGCGGCGCTGGCGGAGGCGATGATGTCAGCAATCGCGGCGCCTGCGAGGGCGACCTCGTCACGCTTCCCATGGTGAGCGGGCCTGCCGTTGCACAGGGCGGGGCGCAGCTGCTTCTCGCAGCCGTTTGCGCGGAAGGGCGGCAGCCTGCCGCCGAATTCACAGCGAGCCAGCCGGCGTGCTTCGCCTGCGCGCTCGGCGCCCACTGCCTGGCGCGGCCCGACCACCCGTCCCCCCGCCGCGCGCGCGGCAGCCCTTCACGCCCCAACATCCATGCTGCCGCCGCCGCGTCCGCAGGCGCAGACCTTGGGGTTCTGCGCGGACAGGAGGGGCGGCATGAAGCCCCTGCGCATGCCGGAGCCTCTGCTGCACAGCTGGTTCCCCGGCGCGCCCCTACCCCTGGACATCAGGGTGCAGCTGGAGGTGGACGGGCGGCCCTGGGGGGGCAGGTCTGACACCACAATCGGCCGTGGGCGCGCCTTTGGGAAGGGCGTGCGCACGCTGCCGGAGCTGGAGGGCTGGCGGTTGACCGCCATTCGGCGCGCGGCCGGCCACAATGCTCTCGACCTCATCCTCACCGGCAGCGGTCGGCAGCAGCTGCATCAGCAGCAGCGGCGGCAGCAGCGGCAGCAGCAGCAGCAGCAGCAGCAACAGCAGCAGCAACAGCAGCAGCAGCAGCAGCAGCAACAGCAGCAGCGGGAGCGCGAGCAGCTCAAGCAGCTCAAGGCGCACAACAGAGCTGCCGCTCAGGGTTTCCGCTGCGGCGCCAGCTGCGATGCTACGGCAAACGCTGAGCCGGCCGCAAAACGGGCGCGCCTGGCAACGGCTGCGGCAGCGCCACGGCCGACGGCGGAGCCGCGTCACCAGGTGATGCAGGGGGCCGGGCTGCCGCCTGCAGAGCCAGTGCCACAGCGGCCGTCGGCGGGCGGGGCCCCCATACGCAGAGCGGGTGCAGCGAAATGTCATGGGCCTCTTGTGACGGGCGATGCGGCGGTGGCCATGGGGGCAGCCACGCCGACGGGCACGCCGCCATCCGCCGCCCATGCGCAGCTGACCACGAGGCCGGGGCCGGGACCGGCCAAACAAGCAGGCGTGGCGGCGACGGCGCGGGCACAGGCGCAGCCGGCTGCGGTCGTGGCGGTGGTGCAGGGGGAGGCGGCAGTTGCGGCGGCCCTGGTCGGCCTGTGTCTGGACGAGGTGCCCCTGCCCGCGGCGCCCTCCCCTGGGGCCACCGCTGAGGCGGCCGCGGCGGCCGAGGCTGCGCTGCAGGAAGCTGCCATAGGGGCATGCGAGGGGGCGCTGCGCACGGCCGAGGCGCTGCGCCTGCCGCCCGAGCGCGTTGACGCGGTGTGCGGCGGCGTGCAGGCGGCAACCGAGGAGGCGGTCGCGTGCCGGCGGTTCCTGGGGATGGAGTACCCGCGGCTGCAGCGCGCGTGCGCGGCCGGGGCGGTGGAGGTCGTGAGGGCCTGGATGGACCGGACCGCGGCGCTTAGCAGCTAAGCAGGGCTGTAGATGTGTTTTGTCTTGTCGAGGGCGCATTCCTGCGCGCTATTGAGACATATGTTTATTTGGGCCGGTCTGTGATCACGGTTACATCTCCAGCTTCCCCAGTCCCCGTTTGTGATCGGGTCCCCCCCAGCATCTGCGCCTGCCGTGTTTGAATGTATCTCTGCCATTGCATATTTAGTCCATTCCCATACCTCTGCTGTGCTCCTGAATATTCCAGGTCCTGAGAATGGCGAGCTGCTTCCTTTGCTCATGGCAATAGTGGTACGCAATGGTGTCCTCTCTAATACAGTAGGCCTGCAGAATTTGTTATCAAACAACAATGCCCGAGTTGCAACATAATTGCTCTCTTGAAGTCCTCAGTCTGTATCACATCAGCCCAAATAGGCCAATTCATTTGATCAGGCTCCGTCCGCCGCTGAGCCACTTCCTGCAAAACACGAGTTTCCACACATTCAGGGGCCAGCAGCCGCTGCGCAGCTGTACGTACTTGCGTCCTACTCACAAGCACCAGCCTGGGTTGTGTCATGATGGTCGGTGTGCAAGGGGTCCAGCGCCAGGTGCCCTGCCTTCAAGGCACGGCAACCAGCCGCTATCCTTGTGTGGCCTTCGTGTCGGTCTCCAACAGCTCCTGTTGGCTCGCAGATTCAGCATGGAACCCTGGTGAATTTGACATCAGGGGGGATTTCTTCAATTCTCGGCGTGGCCAGCTGAAACGAGCCGTAGGATGGCTTCTGCCTCTATCTGGACAACACCAGCCACAAATATATGAACTGGCGGGCTGTTGGCTGTTGGGCTCACGCGATGTATGTAACCAGTCCCGACATCACGAGGGGTTTGGTATTGTGAAGATCATTGGCGTCAGAGAGTGCCGGTGCGTGCCTGCTGCGCAACTGACGAAAGCAAGAGTATTGGCGGGTCTCGGGCCAAGCGGCGTGTGCTGTGCTGGGCGAGGTGCTGCAATGATTGCCGGCCGAACATCGCCTTGCTTGCGCTATCAATATGTTCAACAGGCCGCTTGGCTGCTGCCAAAATCAGGGACGGCATACAAGTGCATACCGTGCGCTCGCCCTGGGCATCACGCCCTGACCAGCGCGGTCTGCTTTGGTCTACTGATAACAACTGGCGAGCTCGACGCGGTGGCTGGCGTGCAGAGACGATGCTTACAGACGCAAATTGATGGATGCAGAAATATGATTTGATTACCGTTTGCATCACGAGACGCCCAGGATCTGATGACAACTGACCTACCATCGATAACCTCGAGTGCGTATGCTGTGCGAAGAACACGGCACGGATCTGAAGATTTTCAATATCGCGCAGCCGTCATCAGGTCTTGATTTCGGACGGTAGCGAACTTCTGATTGCGCGGCACGCACACACCCAGGATCCAGCATGCGCGGTAAGCTGGCGCTGGTGCCCTCCTCGGCACTCGAAGAAATATGGAACGATTTGCCTCCCGATGAAGCGGGCTGCAGCGGCGGCGTCGCGGCAGAGGGCGAGACTGAACGAGGCTCGAAGCGCACACGCCTCCAGTCGGGCACCAGCGGCAGCAAGCCAGCCGTTTGCCAGCACGAGCAGCCATCCCGCAGCTCGCCGCTGCATGTACTGCCGGCAGCTCCCACAGCCGAGGCCCCGACCGTGACACCGCACGCGTCGGCGCCTACGGCCTGCGCTGAGAGGGGCCAGGGCGCGGCAGGGGAGGTTCCGGGCGGCGCCTTGCGCAGCAGCAGTGAGCAGTCCGCAGAAGGGCCAGCCCAGGAGCGGCCAGAGGGTAGGGCGCTGCCGCAAGTTTGGCGGCAGCCGGACGCCAGTGCGGCAGAGGCCAGCGCCGACGCCGACGCCGACGCCTGTGGCGCCCCCGTGGGCACCTTTTGGGCTTCGGTGAGCCGGGGCTGGCGGCGGCGGCCCGCTGCTCTTGGCCCACCGACGCTGCCTGCCGCTTTCAGTGAGGGCAGCGCACCACGCAAGTCTTTGGCAGCACGACCCTGATTTGATGTTGGCAAAGTACAAACAGCCGCCCGCATCGACGCCCATGACACGTCCCCCGCGCACGCCCCGCCTCCCGCCTCTCGCCTCCCGACCCCGCTGCCTCACGCCTCGCCGCCTGCGCACCCACCCTTGCCTCTGCTGCAAACACCCAGTCGCAGCGTATCAGGTTCATCTCTTATGCGGACGGCAGGCCCTCAAAAAGCGTTCGTGGCATTGGGCTGCCTCGGGCCCTGGTGACTGCTCTCTACCCTCGAGAGCAGCAAGGCGGGGCCAAGGGCCCGCCGCGGCGCCTCGCCATCAGCCTGAAGCCCATAGTGGAAGGGCTGTCCTTGGGGCCGCCGATAAACAGCTACATAACTAAGGGGCCCAAAGTGTCGGCGCGGCTGGCCGGGCTGCGGGGGCTTGTGGGGTGGCGGATCGCCGGCTTCCGGCGCGCAGCGGGGCCCGCGGCAATTGATGTGATAATTAAACAGGGCGACGGGCAGCAGGGTGGCGAGGGGGCCCCGGAGGAGGGGGCGGAGGAACCGGTGTCGGATGAGAAGGGGAGCAGGGGCGAGGACGGCCGGCAGAATGGTTTGGAGGACGATTGGGAGAAGGAGGAGGAGGGGCAGGAGGAGGACGAGGAGGACGAGGAGGGGGAGGAGGAGGGCAGCGCTGACGGAGGCGATGATGTCAGCAAGCGTGGCGACTGCGAGGGCGCCCTCTTCACGCTTCCCAAGGTGAGCGGGCCGGCCGCTGCACATACATGAGGGGTGGCAGCCAATGATTCGGGCCCACCGAGGCAGCCACACTTGTGCGAGGGCAGCGGCCTGCCACCTGTTCCGGCCGGCGTGGACGCCCCCCAGGCGCCCACGCGCCGGCGCGGCCCAGGTAACCGTGTCGCTGCCATGTGCGTGGCAACCCCGCGCGTCCCCGCATCCACGCCGCCGCCGCATCTGTAGGCGCAGACCCTCGGATTTGGCGTGGACAGGAGCCGCGGGTTGAAGCCCTTGCACATGCCGGAGCCTCTGCTGCGCAGCTGGTTCCCAGGCGTGCCCCTCCCGCTCAACGTCAGCCTGCAGCTGGAGGTGGACGGGCGGCCCTGGGGGGAGAGGTTTGACAGCACCATCAACCGTGGATTTGGCTTTGGGAAGGGCGTGCGCACGCTGCGGGAGCTGGAGGGCTGGCGCCTGACTGCCATCCGGCGCGCGGCCGGCCGCAACGCGCTCGACCTCATCCTCACTGGCGGCGGCCAGCAGCAGCAGCAGCAGCAGCAGCAGCAGCAGCAGCAGCAGCAGCAGCAGCAGCAGCAGCAGCAGCAGCAGACGCTGCAGCAGCCGCGGCAGCAGCAGCAGCAGCAGCGGCAGCAGCAGCCGCGGCAGCAGCAGCGGCAGCGGCAACGTAAGCTGGGGCAACAGGGGCAGCAGCGGCAGCAGCCCAAGCAGCACAAGCACCGCCAGGCGCACAACCAAGCTGCCGCTCTGGATCCGCGCCGCGGCGCCATCTGTAGGGCTGCCGCAAACGCTGAACCAGCTGCAAAGCAGGCGCGCCTGGCAACGGCCGCGGCGACGCCAGGGCCGACGGCGGAGCCGCGTCACCAGGTGACGCAGGGGGCCAGGCTCCCGCCTACAGAACCGGTGTCACCGCGGCCGTCGGCGGGCGGGGCCCCCGTACGCAGAGCCGCTGCAGCGAAGTTTCCTGGGCCCCTTGTGACGGATGAGGAGGCGGCGGGGGCAGCCACGCCGATGGGCATGCCGCCATCCGTCCATGTGCGGCCGACCACGACGCTGGGTCCGGGACCGGCCAAACAAGCAGGCGTGGCGACGACGGCGCGGGCGCAGGCGCAGCCGGATGCGGTTGTGGCGGGGGCGCAGGGCGAGGCAGCAGATGCTGCGGCCCTGGTCGGCCTGTGTCTAGCTGAGGTGCCCCTGCCCGCGGCGCCCTCCCCGGGGTCCACTGCTGAGGTGACCGTGGCAGCCGAGGCTGCGCTACAGGACGCCGCAAATTCAGCGTTCAGAGGGGCGCTGCGCGCAGCCGAGGCGCTGCGCCTGCCGCCCGAGCGCTTCGACGCGGTGTGCGGCGGCGTGAAGGCGGCAACGAAGGAGGCGGTTGCGTGCCGGCGGTTCCTGGGGATGGAGTACCCGCGGCTGACGCACGCGTGCGCAGCGGGGGCGGTGGGTGTCGTGAGGGCCTGGATGGACCGGATCGCGCCGCGCGATTGATGAGCGGGCCTCCTGATGAATTGTAGCTTTCGTGCTGAGCGGGTGTTGATGCGTGCCGGTGCAACATATCCCAATGGGGTGTGAGCGTGGTCGCAGATGCAGCTGGCACTGGCCCCGTTGGTGTGTGCGTGGGTCGAGCATCCATCAGCAGCTGTGCCTGCACCTTTTGAGTAGAGAATATTTTTGGTGTGCTCTCAGTTGGGCCTGCCAACGTTGTTGTTAACACGACAAGTTTCAAAAGGTACTTCTGTCTGCTGCTCGCTTGCTACAGCACCTCAAGTTAAATAGGCTGGCGCGGTCCAACGGGATGGGGGTTTGCGACGCCGGAGTCGCGCGCTCCTGGATCCATCCAGGCTCATGGATTTGGACGTTGAAGTCGCAGCCCAGCCCACCGTCATCACTCCAGTTCGTTGGCCGCAACGTTGCACGAAACGGGGTGGCAAACGATGGCTGTCGCCAGTTTGCTAGGCTGTGTTTGCTCGGTGCCGCCAGGGCCGTCATTGGTCGCCCGCCCGACATGCGCCGGCGCGCCG